GGAGGTGGCTTTTGCTAAAGGTTTAATTTTCTTGACCAGCCTATTTCCAGCTCCAATGTCCACCCCAGAGTCCTTGTAAGTCAGGCCCCTAAAATATTCAAACAAACAAAAAAACCCTAGGATATCACCTAAATATCAGGAAAAATCATTTTAATCCTAAATAGTATTTAAAGTAAAATACATCCCTAATGATTTTCACATCCCCTAATATGCTGGGCCCCCTCCACGGATTTTGATTTAACTCATCTAGGGCTGGCCCTGGAAATTGAAATGTGTTTAAATAACCTCTCCTTGATTTGACTGTATCATCGCTACTGAGAACTACAATACTTCTCTTAATTAACCCTTCCCCAAGTATTTCTCACAGGTAGTTAAGATATACTGACATTCTGCCAAAACCTTTCTCTGTTAAATTTTGGTATGGGATGGAAAGGACTGTGAAAACTAAGTCAAAAAAGTAAAAACTAGAGTTATAAGAACTCAACAAAGAATTTCCTAAATTCTAAAAATTAGGGTTATACTAACTCTGCGAAGAAATCCCTAAATTATTGCAAAAGAGAATTGTAAATTTTCTTGTAGCTGAAAACAGTAAGAAACAAGATTAAAAAAATTACGATAAAAGCAAAACCAGGTAACGGTACTCAGTGCATCATTTCCTTCTACATAGGGCCAACACACTGGAGCAGTACATTCAAAGGTCAAGTTTGTGAATCTGTAAATTTAGTAGTCTTGCCTTACGAAACTGAGAACTTCAGCCTAGGTGAATGCAGTGATACGTGAAGAAGTATGTAAAGTTTTATTAGAAACAAGGTGCCAGGGTACATACAGTGTTTGAGAGCTTTGGCAGTTAACTCCAATAAAGTTAGCAGTCCAGGGTCATGCCCAGATAGGAAACAAAGTTCTACTAGTTTAAAAAAAAGCCTTTTCTCAGTTAGCAGTGGGCATTGTGGCCTCTTCATCTTTAATTTAAAGAACTCGAGACAGTATTAAGACTGCAATGACTTGAAAGAGATCATTTTTCAATGGAATCTAGTCATTTTAAGATAAAAAATAAAAATTTGTACCATGGTTATTTTAATGTTCTTTCTAAAAAAATGGCAATCAGTAGGAGTACAGCTTGAATTAAGATGCTAAAAATTTCTTATTTTATCCTAGAACTTATTTTCATAGATGAACTCAATAAATAGTAACTGTAATACATACTTAAGAAGTCAAAACACTCATACTTGCAATTAATAGTTTATTGATTTTACAAAGGAATAGTTGTACATGTCAATAAATGAATCACTAAGGGGTCAAAAATACATTTCAGTAATAGATATAAATGTAGTGACAAGACTGCCAAAGTTTACAGTATAATCAAATTACATTGTAAAAGTAGATGACCTAGATTTTCATCTTGAACTCTTTGAAAAAACCAGGGATTAAGATATAACAGTAATATTTAAATATATGACAACAAAAGGAATAAAAATCCCTTTTCCCATCTTTATTGATAAATGACTGAAAAAAATGATCGTATATATTTAAAGTGAACAATGTGAAATAAATTCTTAATATCACTGTGATTTGACCAAACTTTTTAAACATAAAGAGCTACCATGAAAATTTTCCCATTTCATTTGAACATTGGAACTAGTTTTGAATCAGACTAAACGCAAATCAAAATCAGATCAGTCCCACAGAGAGAAAAGAATACAGAATGCCTAGTATAGGGTTAAAGAATTTTCTATTTAGGTATATGTGCCAGTTTTGAAGTGGTGCTTTAATCACCTTGGTAAGAAATTTACCTGGGCTGCTGCAGGAAGGCTATGGCCCGATAGCCAATGTCTTTCCTGTAAATGGCTCCCTCAAACTTTATAACAGATAGTCCTTTCTTGGCATCTTCAAGGGCCGAGATGAGATTTTCCCGGATGGCCGTTACAGTAAGGACTCTGCCACCATTAGTCACCACTTTGCCATCTTTTAGGGCAGTGCCAGCTTGGAACACCTCCAGTCCTAAAGCTTGAGCCTCAGGAAACCCTGT